ATTGGGAGATCGTTATCCTCTTCCAAACATAACAGATTTGTTAGATAAATTAGGGCGATGCCAATATTTTTCAACATTAGACTTAGCTTCAGGTTTTCACCAAATAGAAATGGCAGAAGATGATATTCAAAAAACTGCATTTAATACAGAAAATGGACATTACGAGTTTACAAGAATGCCATTTGGACTAAAAAACGCGCCAGCGACTTTCCAGCGAGTAATGGATAACATACTGAGAGGTATTCAAAATGAAAAATGCTTAGTATATTTAGATGACATTATAATATTCAGTACTAGTTTACAGGAACATATTTCTCGACTTAGAGAAGTTTTTGAAAGGTTACGTCAGTCAAATTTTAAAATACAGTTAGACAAATCGGAATTTCTTAGAAAAGAAGTATCGTATTTAGGTCATGTTGTAACGGCGGATGGTGTGAAACCAAACCCCGATAAGATAAAGGCAATCACAGAATTTAAAATACCAAAAACTAAGAAGCAAATCAAAGGCTTCCTTGGACTTTTAGGTTATTACCGTAAGTTTATAAAAGATTTTGCGAAAATCACTAAGCCATTGACAATCAGATTGAAAAAAGATGCAATTATTAATCCCAATGACGCAGATTATATTAGATGTTTCGAATTATGCAAGACTTTATTGACAAACGATCCGATACTCCAATATCCGGATTTTTCCAAACCATTCTTGATAACTACGGATGCAAGTAATTATGCAATCGGCGCAATATTATCCCAAGGTAAATTAGGCTCAGATTTACCAATAGCGTACGCCTCACGAACATTAAGTGATTCAGAGACAAAGTATAGCACGACAGAAAAGGAACTTCTAAGTATCGTATATGCAGTGAAATATTTCAGACCTTATATTTTCGGACGTAAGTTTACTATTGTAACAGATCACAAAAGCCTCCAATGGTTATTTTCAGTTAGAGATGCTAGTTCAAAATTACTAAGATGGCGCTTAAGATTAGAAGAACATGATTTTGACATTGTTTACAGGAAAGGCAAATCAAACACAAATGCGGACTTTTTATCTAGAATAGAAGTAAATGTTAATGAAACAGAATCACCTTTTAATATAGACATAGATAAGCAATTATTAAATAATTATTTACAGAATCATAAGGAAAAAATGAAAATAGTATATAGGAATTTAAATGAAAAGATATTACAGAATAAAGAAAAAGTTATAAATAAAGCAAATGAGAAACGTGAAGTTTTACCTGATATTCCTAACAAGGTATATGTTAAGAATAAGCAGAAGCAACAGAAAACTAAAAATAAGTATAAGCAAGAAAAATTAATTAGTATAGATAAAAAATTAAAAAGAGCGGAGATAGATCCCACACATGCCAATACTTCCAAAAATATCCATTTATCCAATATAAAAAGGCCCAGGAAGAAAACTTATCAATTTAAATTTACTAATATTTCAGATACCTCATCTATTTCGGATGCGGAGCAGAAATAAGAAACATAACGAACAATTTAGGAATTTTGCCAGTAAATTTAGGCACAGCTAGGCTACAAAAGACAAAACATACTTTTGTGCACTATTATGATCTATCACCTTTATATAAGGAATATGAAGATTTGAATATTCAATATAGTAATCTTAACTATAGTTATAGAAACCATTCTAAGATTAATAACGAGCTAGAAAATTATAGTAAGATAGTATCTTATATAAGGAGCTTGATTCAAGAGAAAACCGAATACATTAAATCTCATTCTCAAAAGACTCGCAATAAGAGAGGACTTTTTAATGGCATAGGCTATGTAGTAAAAACAATAACAGGAAATTTAGACTCCGACGATGGAGAACGTATTGATAAAATTTTATCTCATTTACAAGAAAATCAGCATCATATTCAAAATCAGCTGAGAATGCAATATTCAGTAAACAATGAACTTGTCGCAAAATTTAACGGGACTATTCAAGATATACAGCACAATGAGATGACATTAAGAAATAACATTTTACAATTGAAACATATTTTATTGAACCAGACAACAAACCAGGATATTCTTTCAGCGAAGGACATTATCAATCAATTAATTATCCTTTATAATGCCATATTGAATATTTTACAAGATATCGAAAATTCGATAACTTTTTGCAAATTGAAAACCATGCATCCCAGTATAATAAGGACTAGAGAATTATTTCAGGAACTCCGTAAGATATCCACATTTTATAAGAATGAATTACCATTTGAAGTAAAGTATGAAAATATGCTAGATTATGAATCTATTATTTCTATCAGTTGTAAAATCGATGAGAATCAAATAAGTTATTTTCTATCTATTCCTATAGATTATCCTGAACATTTCGATCTTTATTATATGTTACCTATACCGACTCTGATGCACAAATCAGAATTCGTCACTATTATCCCAAATTATAAGTATTTGCTAAAATCTGATCGAAATGAGATCAAACCCCTGCACGAGATTTGTACCCAAGGTAGAATCTATCAATGCCCTAATCGTATATTAGCCAATCACAAAGCCCAATGCGAGAAGTCAATAATTACTGAAGATCATACAGAACCATGTAAATACACGAAGCTTCAGATTGAAGAAAATCACATCGAATTTATTCCCGAAATTAACCAGTATTTAGCTGTATTTCTCACCGAAGAAAAATTGAAAATTAAATGCAAGGAGCAAATCGATACAAAGTCATTACTTGGCATTTTCTTAGTCAAAGCCAGTGAATGCCAAATATCATTCCAAGACAATGAACTTATCTTTCAAGACAAAACCTATGGAAAGCCCCTCGTAGCTGACAAAATGGATTTCCATTTTATGAAACAAAATATCCCAGAGACACAAATTACTCTGAAAACATTAAATTTACCAGAATTACAAGTTAATCGAATGTTACCAATTTTAGAAGAAAATTCCATAGAAAATTTTGGAAAACCCAGTATTTGGACCATATTACTATATCTCGTATTTTCAAGCATCTGCTGCATAATTTTATATAGAAGATGGAGAAACAAGAAAGCATCCAAGTTAGAAATCGACATTGAATTAGCCGAGATGAAAGAAGAAGGTCCAAGTCCCACAAAACGCACTAGAAGAGAAGATTCCAGTTCAAGATATAAGAAGAAAGAAATTCACCTTCCAGGGGAAGCTTCATTCTAGGGGTGGAGGAGTTATGTACCAGTCTACAGAGAAGAATATGCTGAACAAGGACTTTTGCCTCCACGTGCCTTTCTTATCAGTTACAGTATTGTATTTCATTTGTTCTTTACTTTGGTTTGTATAATGAACTTTGCAGTCAGTCTCGATTCAGAACTCATTCAATTAACATCATTGTATTTGGTCTTTCTCAAAAATAAATCTTTTTAAAAACGTTTTCGTTGAAGAAAGATATTTGAGTTACATGAATTCAAAATGGTTATGAGATCGTTGGGCTCGCGAACCTTTCTCTGGTTATCCGCGCTGTGGATCTGGATTCAGAACACATTCTGCTCTGTCGTAGATCGTGCGCCTCGAGCAAGATCTCCGAATCACGGCGGCTGAATACGAAGTCGTTGCGTGCCCGGATTTTCAAATCGGTGCTTTAGGACCACTTTATATTGTAATTCGTCAACGCTATGTGCACTATTGGCCGAACAGCCTCATGAGCGTAGCTTGGACAGATTCAAGAAGCTTCGTGTGGCAGAAAATTCGATTAGATTCAGCAGCATATGATATAACTGGTGCCTTTCACAAATCCGTAAATATCAAACTTAGCTTCATGTCAAATTTGGTTTTCCCTGTAGACAGTAGGCCAATAGGATAAGTTGTGAAACACCCTGTATGTTGCTTGTCTACCTAACAATCTGCCTGAGGAGGCTTTTACTTTGCTTTAAGTAGTTTAAAAAACGGATCGACAAGGCTTTTCTAACAAGATGAGAAGCTAGCGTCCGCGACCCCATATCTACACCACTGGCTCTGAAACTCGTAAAAACAGTTTATAACCCATTTCGATCCTTAGCTGCAAGATAACGCTCACAAAGATCAGCTTTTATCATCTACTGTTTACGAATGGGACCACAACATTCTTGCTAAGTTGAATTTCATTACAAAAACGGTAACCTCGATGTCGTTCGATATGCATTTTTTATCTACAATGTCTCCGTATAGGGTTGAACTTTTTTGGTACTCAAATCTACCAGATCAAAAATGATATTCAGAATCTTTATTACTTTTGTAGGGCATCAGTTGATGGAATAGAACATGCCACAAGATAGGAAACTACAGTAAGGGTGGATTTCACAGTCCGTCAACTACAGCGAATGAGCTTCAACATCCAGTCAAGAAAGATAGCCATTAAGCATCTACTCGATGACAGGCTCTACCAAAAATTTCATAGATATTGCTCGTTTGCGAACATTCATTTATTTACTTGCCGTTCATCAGAACCATTATGGCACCTTAGATTGATATTCCCACAAAACCATTCAGGTTTTTTGATATCCGTACGTCCATAAAGTTGAATATTTTTCGTTGTTCAGGAACTGAACAAACATCCACACTATATTCACAGCGATTAAGAAATTCCCAAATATATGCCTTAAAGCCTCCAGCAAACCTATAAAACCTGCAAAAAAACTACAAATTTGTCATTACCTCATCACCGCACAAGCAATAAAGAAACCGAAACCTGTCCGTTTTCAAAATAAATATTTAATTAAAACGAGACGCGAGTTCATGCGTTCAGAGGTAAAGCAGAAAAATATCCAGAATCCTAGTAAACAAAGTACGCGCCCTTAGTCTATGAAGTGCTGATCATCGTTTTTAACCCGTCGCGAACAACAGGAAATGCCGCTTGCGCGGCTGCCGCGGATTTTTTCAAGCTTGCTCGGCACGCCCGGTCCGAATCTGAAAAATTCTTCGCAGAGCTACGCTGACAATAAAAATTGATAACCCTCATCGAAGCCGAATGAGAAGTATGCGCGCCGGAGCCGTAATCTATTATTAATTACCCGAGATATGGTCTGCGGGATTTCCGCGGTCACGAATCCGACCGCACCAGCTACAAGGCGGCCCGAACTGAAATACAAACTGATTTTGTGGAATACTTTGCAACGATAGCTGAACAGACGATTACCACAGTATACGCAAAGGTATAGCCAAAACAGTACTTGACTACCATGCATATCCGCAGAAGAGATAATGCAATCTGTAAATGAATTGAAAAATAAGGATCTGATTGATTGCAAATTAAAGTACTCAATATTTAATATATCCACTCACATACTTATTTAACTTATCAACGGCAACTGGTACCTATCCGGATTTGTTGTGGTTCGTCTGCTTGTCTTAACTATTTGACAAAATAATTTATACTAGAATGTGAGCGCAAGATTCTATCTGTTAAACAACACGGTTTTAAGAGTAACCGCTCAACAAATACGGCAGCATTTTCATTGCTTCCATCTGTCCATAAACATCTTGATGACAATATTTCTTGATTCATCAAAAGCATTCGACTGTGTCCAAGTTGACATCCTCGTACGAAAAATTATGGGCTATGCGTTCAGAAATCCCACAGATCAATGTCAAACAGAAAGATTCGGGCTAAGCTGGGTGGCACTATCTCTGATCCACATGACATAAACTTCGGAGCACCTCAAGGTAGAGTGCTATCACCGTTTCTGTTTTTCGTATTTGTGAACGATGTAGATGAACACATAATTGATAATGATTGTCTCTTGGTTACCTCCGCTGATGACATGACTATAACAGCTTCAGCAAAGTCGCTTGAGGATCTAGCAGACAACGCTAACATCATCTCCTTTATGTTAAGTACTCTTCGCTTTCTTGTGCTTATGTGAAAAAATATATACTATATATACTATACCCTGATTGGCATTTGCTGATTGTCCACCAGGTAAAAATAAAGGATTTTTAATATAACTATTATTATTAATAATTTCGAGCCACCATGTATTGCACCGAGCACCGACTACCAGGCTATAGGGTGTCACATTTTTAGCCAGTAGTCACTGACAGATTATGATTAAGTACCTCGGGAGATATAAAAATTCTACAACATCAATACTAATCAGTACTGGTGTACAGTTGAGGGTGCATACTCGCCGTTATCTTGTAATGAACTTGGTAAACTCATTTTTTGTAGTTATCTAGATGATAGACCATAAGTCATGCTTTTCGAAAGTTTTATGGGAAATAATGTATGCGTGGGTTTCGATATCGGGTACATTGAAGATAGGGAAGACGTGTTATACAACTTTTAAACATGAAGCGTCTATTAGACCTCGCACGTGTGTTGAAAATTCAAAATTTGATTGAAGAATTTAAAGGATTTTGTGAATAACGTTTGTGAGCTTATTCTAAATTTTAAAAATTTTCAAAATCTTCAAAAATTTTCAAAATTTTCCAAATTTATATTTTCCTAATTTTCTAAATATCCAGTCTTGAAAGTTTTCGAAATTCTCAAAATTATGAAATTGTTCAAAATTTTCACATCACTCAGAATTTTCAAAATTTTCTGAATGTTCGAAATTTTAGGAACTTTCAATATTTCCAGTTTTCAAAATTCTCAAAATTTTCAGGATTTTCAAAATTACCATAATTTTCAAAATTTTCGAAATGTTAAAAATTTCCGAAATTTTCAAAATTCAATATTTTTTCAAATTATATTGAAAATTATGAAATTGTTCAAAATGTTCAGGTCTAATACAGACTGTCAAAATCTCTAACACTTGTAACAAACATACATCAAGTGTGGTGTGCCTCAAGGAACAGTACTAGGCCCTCTGTTATTTAATCTCTATTTAAATTACTTGAAATTAATAGTATTGGAAAGTTTATATATTTTGCAAACGTCTTAAAAATGTTGAAAATTTTTAATAGAATAGGAAACATGAATTGAATTAAATGAAAATTTAGAAACATTCCGGCAACTAAGGGATGCCAGCGCAGATTTGAAAAGTTTGAACATTTTTATAATATTGAAAATTTTGAAAACATCAAAGGTTTTGAAAATTTTGAATAATATGAAAATCTTAGAAGTGTCGAGGATTGAGAATTTTGTAGATCTTAAAATTTCTAAAAATTTAGAAAGTTTTGAGAAGTTTTAAAATTTTTAACATTTCCAGTTTTGAGAATTTTAAAAATTTAAAAAACTGAATTTTTGAAATTGTGAAAATCATGAAAATTTTCAAAATGTTCAATATTTTCCAAATTTTCATGATTTTCAAAATTTCCAAAATTCATTTTTCACGATTTTCAAAATTCCCAAAACTGAAAATGTTCAAAATTTTGAAATTTCTCAGAATTTTCTAAATTTTTAGATGTTTTAAAATTTTCAACTCTCAACATTTTCATATTCAAAATTTTCAAAACCTAAGATATATTCAAAATCTTCAATATTTTCAAGGTATCGTCTGCAAAACATATACTCTTCTCAATATTATCAATTTCAAGTCATTTAAATAGAGATAAGATAAGAGAGGGCCTAGTACGGTTCCTTGAGCCACAGCACACTTGATGTACATTTATTACTGAAAGTGTGAGACTTCGACAGTCTGTATTCGACCTGGAAAGTAACTTTTTGATAGAATAGAACTATCAAAAAATCCGACAGAACTAGTGAAATAAAACAATACTACTAATGAGCCAGCTCCTGTGGCTCCCCATGACTTCTTTAACAATAATCCCCGCGAGCTCGACATTGTAACACTCTGTATGAGACATTCAAGAGCCGCACAGAACACATACATTTAAATGAATTCATATTAAACGGCGCAGCATGCGGAGATCTCCGCAGGATATTGCCGCGCAAGTTGACTCCTGTCACCTATTTACGGCCTTCTTCCCTCCTATCCCTCCGTGAAGTTATGTCCGACCAGGCGATTAGGTGCAGAGCGTGCGACTTTATGGGTTCGATATTTTTGATGTATTGTATTTGGTCTGCACCTCATCAGGCTCACCATGTGAGCGCACGATGTTGCACGAAAGTAGTCCAAAGCGGCCCACTGCCACCTGCAGTCTCTGAAACAGTACTGGAAAGTATAAATTGAAGCTTAGGGTCATATTTATAGACGTTCCTTGATACAGTTCCTTGAGAAAATTGGAATTTTCATCTGCTGTCGGGTGTGAAACATTAATCTCAAAAATTTTCAAAATTCCCACAAATTTATATTTTTAAAATTTTCGTACTTAAAAATTTTATAATTTTTCAGAATTTTTAAAATTCTCAAATTATTCAACATTTACAAGGCTTTTACAACCTTCAAATCTCTCAAAATGTTTAGCACATTCATGATTTTAAATACTTTCACGATTTTCAAAAATTTCTGAATTTTCTAGATTAAAAAAATATTTTTCAAAATTTTCGAAATTTCCAATATTTTTGAGATATTTAAAACTTTCAGAATATTTAAAATATGAATATTGGAATATTTTCAAATTGTCGGAATTTTCAAAATTCTCAAAATATTCAAGATATTCAAGATTTTCAAAAATTTCAGTTTTCAAAATTTTCAAAAATTTTATAGATTTTCAAAATTATCAGGATTCTAAGTATATTAAAAATTTTGAAAATCTTCAAAATTGCAAAAATATTCAGTTTTCAAAATTTTGAATATTACCAAGATTTTAAAAATATTCAAAAAAGATTTTCAAGATTTTTCAAGCTCCCAAAGCTTACAAAATTTTCAACAGATTGAAAATTTCCAGGATTTTCAAAAATTTCAGTTTTAGAAATTTCCAAAAATTTTCTAGATTTACAAAATCATGATTCTTAGCATATTCAGAATTTTGAAAAACTTCAAAATTGGAAAAACATTCAATTTTCCAAATTTTCCATATTTCCAAGATTTTTAAAATTCTCAAGAGATTTTCGAGATTTTTCAAACTTTCAAAGCTACCAAAATCTTCAAGATATTAGAAATTTCCAAGGATTTTCACAATTCTCAAAATATTCATGATTTTTAAAACTTTTAAAGCTTTAAAAGTTTTCAAAAATAGCAAAAATATTCAGTTTATAAAATTTTTAATATTCCCAAGATTTTTTAAATTTTCTTGAAGATTATCAAGATTTTTTAATTTTTTAAGCTCCAAAATATTAAAAATTTAGAAGATTTTCAAAAATTTGTTTTCAAAATATCCAAAAACCTTCTAGATTTTCCTGATTTTTAAAAGTTATCAAGATTCTAAGTATATTAAAAATTTTGAAAAGTTTCGAAATCTCGAATATTTTCAAAATGTACTGGATTTTAAACATTTTCAAAATTTGCTGTCATTCTTCTGAGCCTGGCCTGCTATAACTTTCTGCAAGAGAGATATCAAACAGTAGAAGTTGACGGTGTGAGGTCCGCAAAGAAGATATCGGAAGGGCGTGCCACAAGGTTCTGTTCTAGGCCCCATACTCTTTATCACCTGTATTAATGATCTCCCAAACAACGGAATAATGGCCATATTTATAGTCTCTTTGCAGATGACACATCATCAATATTTCTTGCAGCTAAGTCTCTAATGGAAGTGCAACAACAAACGGACCCTGAACTGCACAAAGAAAAAATATGGTTTTATTTCAACCATGCTTGATAATTCTCTGAATACTGATCTGGTTGGGCGCCATTTTATGGGGGGAAAATAAATGAGTGACACTGTATTTTGTATTTACCTTTCATGAAGATGTAACATAAGTGACGAATGACATAAGTGACAGTTGACAGGTTCAACGTTGCCAGCCTTAACAAAATGACATACAATGACGGATAATGCGTAATTCGTATTGACTCAAATTTAACGATTTTTCAACATGTTTTCTACAAATATCAGTGCACCGAGAAGTACCTTCGTTTTCAGTACTACTACTAGCCGTTCGTGATCTACTCTACGCAATCTAAACCGGAGTTATTAATCATTCTGAATATTTTATCGTGAATCCTTTTTATAAAAAGAGTTGATCGAAAAATGCCCCGATCGTATATACGTATACCCATAGACTATATCTTATTCTTATTTTTATTTCATTCTTCAGTGGTCGGTATCGCCTGAACTCACATGCAGACTGGGTTTTGATGAAGTGTGTCCTTGAACGCAGCCCAAATAACGGATACGTGTTATACCATTGATTAATGTTTGTCATCATCTACATAAAAACCTTGTGCAATTTTCTTTTATGAATTCTCTCCTATTATTCTATTACTATTTCTTGTTCGAGTCAATAAAAATCATAACGTTCCGTTGAGTAACTTCCTTTCGGCAAACGGCGATTCCAGGTGTTGACACTACCATTCACCAGATCCATAGATAAGACGCCGTAAATGTGATAGTTTCTTCCTTTAGACTTTAGGCGGCAATACGGTATTTCACGTTCCTTAATTGGTAATTAAGGATATCCTTTCAGTAAGAAAGGTGATCATTCCACCTGCCTCTATCAGCGGCGTAAAACCGATTCCGAAATCGCTCAACCAAATCATCACAGATTTAACGGTCAACCTGGTGGCGATATGCAAGTCAGGATGCCATCTTCGAAGGCGGGAGAGACGTTTTATATGCAAGGTATATGCCGATGCTATTACAGACATTTCAGAATTGAAGCAGCAAGTTTCAAGATTTTCAAAATTTTCATGATTTTCAAGATTTTCTAGGCTATTCAAGATTTTCAGGGTTTTCAAGTTTTCAAGATTTAATATTTTCAATATTATTTAAGATTTTCCAAGATTTTTCGAAATTTTTAAGATTTTCAAGTTTCTCAAGATTTTCAAGCTTTCGAAGATTTACAAGATTTTCAATATTATCAGGATTTTCAAGATTTTCCAAGCTTTTTCAAGATTTTCAACATTTTCAAGATTATCAAGATCATCAAGATTTTCAATATTTTCAGGATTTTCAAGATTTTCAAGCATTTTTCAAGATTTTCAAGATTTTCAAGATTTTCAAGCTCATCAAGATTTTCAAGATATTCAAGATTTTCAGGTTTTCGAGTTTTTCAATATTTCCAAGATTTTCAAGATTTTCAAGATGTTCAAGATTTTCAAGATTTCCAAGGTTTTCAAGATCTTCAAGGTTTTCAAGATTTTCAAGGCTATTCAAGATTTTCAAGGTTTTCAAGTTTTCAAGATTTTTAATATTTTCAATATTATTTAAGATTTTCCAAGATTTTTCAAAATTTTTAAGATTTTCAAGTTTCTCAAGATTTTCAAGCTTTCGAAGATTTACAAGATTTTCAATATTATCAGGATTTTCAAGATTTTCCAAGCTTTTTCAAGATTTTCAACATTTTCAAGATTATCAAGATTTTCAGGATTTTCAAGATTTTCAAGCATTTTTCAATATTTTCAAGATTTTCAAGCTCATCAAGATTTTCAAGATTTTCAAGATATTCAAGATTTTCAGGTTTTCGAGTTTTTCAATATTTCCAAGATTTTCAAGATTTCAGGATTTTCGAGATTTTCAAGATTTCCAAGCATTTTTCAAGATTTTCAAGATTTTCAAGATCTTCAAGGTTTTCAAGATTTTCAAGGCTATTCAAGGTTTTCAAGTTTTCAAGATTTTTAATATTTTCAAGATTTTCCAAGGTTTTTCGAAATTTTTCAAGATTTTCAAGCTTCCCAGGATTTTCTAGATTGTCAATATTATCAGGATCTTAAAGATTTTCCAAGCTTTTTCAAGATTTTTATCATTTTCAAGATTGTCACGTTTTCCAGATTTTCAAAATTTTCAAGATTTTCATGATTTTCAAGATTTTTCAAGGCTATTCAAGATTTTCAAGGTTATCAAGTTTGCAAGATTTTTCATATTTTCAAGATTTTCAAGATTTTCAAGCTCATCAAGATTTTCAAGATTTTCAAGATATTCAAGATTTTCAGGTTTTCGAGTTTTTCAATATTTCCAAGATTTTCAAGATTTCAAGATTTCAGGATTTTCGAGATTTTCAAGATTTCCAAGCATTTTTCAAGATTTTCAAGATGTTCAAGATTTTCAAGATTTTCAAGATTTCCAAGGTTTTCAAGATTTTCAAGATCTTCAAGGTTTTCAAGATTTTCAAGGCTATTCAAGGTTTTCAAGTTTTCAAGATTTTTAATATTTTCAAGATTTTCCAAGGTTTTTCGAAATTTTTCAAGATTTTCAAGATTTTCAAGCTTCCCAGGATTTTCTAGATTGTCAATATTATCAGGATCTTAAAGATTTTCCAAGCTTTTTCAAGATTTTTATCATTTTCAAGATTGTCACGTTTTCCAGATTTTCAAAATTTTCAAGATTTTCAAGATTTTCATGATTTTCAAGATTTTTCAAGGCTATTCAAGATTTTCAAGGTTATCAAGTTTGCAAGATTTTTCATATTTTCAAGATTATTCAAGATTTTTCAAGGTTTTTCGAAATTTTTCAAGATTTTTCTATGTTTTCAAGATTCTCAAGATTTTCAAGCTTCCCAGGATTTTCAAGATTTTCAATATTATCAGGATCTTCAAGATTTTCCAAGCTTTTTCAAGATTTTCAACATTTTCAAGATTATCAAGATCATCATGATTTTCAAGTTTTTCAAGATTTACAAGATTTTTCAAGATTTTCAAAATTTTCAAGATTTTTATGATTTTAAAGATTTTTAAGATTACCAAGATTTTCATGTTTTCAATATTGTCAAGATTATCAAGATTGTCAAGATTCGCAAGATTGTCCAGATTTTCAAGATTTTCTAGATTTTCCAAGATTTTCAAGCTTGGCAAGATTTTCAAATTTTTCGATACTTACCTGATTTTTAAAACTTTGAAGCTTTCAAAATTTTCGAGTCCATTAAAATATTCAAAATTTTGTATTTTTCATATTTTCTAGATATTAAATTATACCCTGTAAGTGCCATTACACTCTAGCTAACTATTTTTTGTCCTAAAATTGTACACCAATTTATTTTGTGGTGTCTTGTTTACCATGGTTTAAATTCAAATAAAATAAACCTAAAACATAAACGCAGGCTTGTCATCTCACACTTTGGGCAGGAAAGGCCGACAGAGTAATACTGTCAAGCTTTCTCGTGTCAA